AAAACATCCTAAACAGCGAACATTGTGAAAAAGGTAGGAAGACTTGGGTGGTAATTTTTTTTCAAATAATGTTGTTTTTTCTCTTTCCTTTCATCTGTTTCTACCTTTTCATAATAAAAATTAAAAACAATTTTTTTATTTGTGAAAAATATGTACCAATTTAAATGTGGGTGCAATCTGCAAAATATTCACTTGTTTCTCATACTTATTCTTTTGTAGATATCTTTATCATTGATTGTTAATATATATTAATTAATTCATCCAATTCATTCTTTCATCCAACTTTTAAATGTCTTTTTTCTCTTGACGCATTGCTAAATTTTAAATTGCGTTCAAATGCAGTTCAAATCTATCCTCTAATCGTAGAATCGAAGATTTTGATTTAAATAGTTTGCATCGGAAAGTGCTTACATGTGACTACAATACAATATATCAGTTTGTAGCAAATGCACTAAAATTTATGGGAAAATACTTTTTATTAGGACATATAATCAAAAGCATTTAGCTGCACGTAACATAAACAGATTTTTTGCAACCGTTTGTAAACAGCTCTGGTAGAGAACTATAGTGATACGGCAGATTCAGCTGTAAAAGTAGTAAATACCGGTTAAAGTGATAATCGTTAACCACATGTGAACCCACTCGTCATGAACGGATCTTAGAAATTCCCGTCAGGAAGGATATTTGGTTTGGAATTCTGTAATTATCACTCATAGGTAAATGGTTTTTATTTCTTTTCATCTCACATGAGTAATCAGAAAATCTTGTAGTTCAAAGTGATTCACATTTAATCTTGTTAACTTCAGGGAATCGATAGAACATGTTACTGTAGTAGTATCGTGGGGGAGGGGGTGTAAATATACAAACCTCATAAAAAATTGTTATATATTCTTCATGCTAGAAATATAAAAAAATGCATCAATTTTTCGGGAAATCGATCGCTAATCTATTTCCGAGTGGATTTTTAGAACAAACGTTATATGAAATAAACGATATGAATATTTTTATTTCACATTTTTACTGAAACCCAGGAAAGAAAAAATATAACATGTATGAGTTAATGAAAAAAAAGGGGTTTTTTTTGTTCGTAAAATTTTCGTCGGTTTTGGCTCGTTTCAATATATTTTTGTTACAGCTTCACAACGGAATTAATTTCGCATAGATACTGAACCTTAATTTTGTGTGGTTCAATAAATCCGATACATTTTTAATAAAATGTTATAGCAATTACCGATTATTGTATAAATTATCACTCTTATCGACAGAAGTACCAACAATGGATAAAACAAGAGACAATGGCGACTTTTGTTAAATTTTAAAGCCCATTAAATACAGTCAGAGAAATACTTCACAATGGGGAGCTTTCTCATACTTTTTATTGCTTGAAAATGTTCTATTTAGTGATAAAATGAAGCATGTAAAATTTAACGCCAAACATCACTAATTGGTTTTCTAAAAGTAATTACAATTTGATCCCTACATAAAACATGATTGAATCCGCAGTGCAAAGAACCAGGTAATCTCAGTTAAGTACCGGTAGGTATGTGGAGCTTACTTGTCACTTAAACTGCTTAATATTCAGTGTACCTACATACCTACTTACTTTAAGTTAAAAAGCGAACAAATTTTGAATTTTGTCTTGAATAAACCTGTCCACAAGTGAAACTTTTCGAATAAACTGAATAGGCAAGAAAGAAGCTGTGAAGTTAAATACAAAAATTAAAAACAATACATATTTCAAAAATTATGCATTGCATCTATGAAAATATAGATTTGGCAGGCAATCCACTAATATTAGTGAAAATAAAAAAAACTATTAAAAAATATCCGAAACTTACCACTCTTTGCTATCTTTGCTACAAAAAATTGTAGGTACACGCAAAATATAATATTGGGCTCTAACGTCGGTGTAATAGATAATAACTCAAGGGCATATTTTGTTTTCTTATGGAAAAGTAGTGAAATTGACTGATCGAAAACCGCATTTTCCTAAAAAACCTCATTTAAGAAAAGTCCGTAAAGGGATTAGAACAATTCTGATCTATCCCTCCGTAATTTGGATTCTAATATTTTGAACTAGTGCAACTTTTCGGTCTCTAGTTTTATATTTTTGATTTTTGATATTTGCTATTTTGGCAGACCGCATTCAGTCGCGCCGCCAGCGATGCGGGTTGGTGATTAAACCGCCAAATTGAAATGTTATCCACGTTAATTTAGCATAAAAAATGCCAAAAATCAGGGTTTTTTAAATGGCACCTACTAATTTTCTTGCTCCTGTGAGATTTTAAAACAGAACCAAAAAAGTTAGTACGAGCTATTTGAGCAAACTGATTTTTTGACTTTTTATATCAATGTTTGTAGGTTGCAAGCACCCAAATGTTACAAAATAGGTACATTAAAGCCATCCGGGGCGTTAGCTTGGGCTTTCAGCTAACTACCTACCAAATTTGGGTAAAACAGCTTTGTAAAAGCTTACAAAGCTGATAAAAATATTACTACTATTCTCAAAATAATTTTATGACAAAGTCAGATGGTACAGCATTACACTTATTAACTAACAAAATAATGTAAGAAATAAGTCAAAATGAAACACGTGTATCAAAACAACTTTATGTTTTGTTTATATTATCTATGAACTGACTGGCAATATTGACATAGCTGACTGACGGTGAGCATCACTTGACATCGATACGCGCTGTCGTCATATCTCCAAAATTGTCGATGCCAGCGCTCCTGGAGGCGCGGGCACGCGTAACACGGAACTCAGGTAAGCTGAGAGTGAGCAGGCCCTGCTTGGCATCCTAGATGCTGCACTAGAAGTAAACAGAAAACATAACCTAGATTAACTCATCGTTTGTAAACATTGAACACACGAAGGCAATATTTTCATGCAATATTCAGTATAAATATTTATTAGTATTTTAAAATCGACGTGTTTTAACCCTTTCTGACTATTATAATAAAAATGAAATTGGATAAAATATGCAGGGCGTGTTTAGTGCAAAAGACTGACCTGAAAAACCTATTTGATGCGTGCATTCCCAACATGATTATGTCTTTTACTTCAATACAGGTAAGTTTTATACGGTTTTCGTTATTTTTTAAAGAGAATATAATGTCAGGTATCATATTTTCACTACATACATACTATGTGACATAAGTTACAATTATTTTTTAATGCCAATTATAAAACAATTTTTACCTGCAAGTAAAAAGCAAGGCGTTCCAATTAAACTAAAAATCCACTTTGTTTTCAACCATATTGAATGTGCCTTAGACTATTAAGAATTTATTGAGTTGGTACACAGACGTTTTCTTCTCGAAAAACCGATCAAAACATGATCATGTTCGTACAAATTTATATTACAATACATATTGTGTTCGTACAATACATATTGTGCCCTTCTAATCCGATTTTTTTCATTTTAATCTTACAAAACAGTGCGAATCATTGGTTTGTAACTACACTGATGGACAAAATTAGCGCACCATCTATAAATTAAAAAAAAAAATACCTATAGTTAAAATCACTTCCTTGGAAAGGGAGTTTTTAAAACAATTTTTATTTCGATTGATATGGATTTCAGCTTCAAGATACAACTGTTTGTTATTATAGGCTTGTGAGAATATATACTAATTAAATGCTGATGAGTTTACATGCTATCTGTGAAACTAAAGAACATTATGTACCTCGTAAGCATAATTAGATATTTCCTTATGCTTAGTTGCGAAATAGAATATCATGAATTTGTGAAGTAGGCTAAATAGGATATCATAACTCTATTATAAACCCTACATACTTTATCAAAATTAAAATTATTGTTTTTAAATTAATATGAGAATGTCTTTTTGAAGATGAAAAATGTTTGGTTGAAATTTAGCGTCCCTCAAACGTCTTATAATGCCATAAAAAAGATTTGTAACCAATTATCAAGCTATGTTGTGCCATTCTTGAAGAACCGCGTTTTCCAGTTCAACCAAGTTTTCAGGAGTGGAATCTCGTCATTTCTTTTTCGTCGTCGAATACGTCCTTTGAGCTGATGGCAAACATGTTCAAGTTGCTAAGGCCAGGGCTACGCACTGGCCACACTAAACGTTGAATGCCAAAATGCCCAGAAACCTCATTAAGATATTCGCGCATATATGCTGTCTGGCATTATCATCTATAAACAAGAATTTGTCGCCTATGTGAGGTGCAAAAGGTACGACATGGTTTTCTAAAATCTCTTGAATGTACTTCTGGGAAGTTAATGATCTTTCTCGGATTACCACTAGGTCCGTACGGGCCTCCAAAGAAATGCCACCCCAAAACATTATTGAGCCACCACGTAAAGCCAGTTGGGGAACCATACATACTTGGCTGTATCTTTCTCTTGGTCTTCTCCAAGTTAAAACTAGCCCATCCGAAGATTTTAAACCCAGTCTAACTTCATCAGTAAACAAGACTTTCTTGCAGTCATCCAAATCCCAGTCCACGTGTTCTCAAGCAAATTCAAGCTTACAAGCTTGCTTGTGGGCTATGTTTAAGAGAGGATCTTTTGCGGGATGTTTTGCACCCAATCCGGATTTATTGAGCCTTCCTCTTACCGTTTTGGAAGAAATTGCAACATTTCGAGCATTTTGAATTGATTTTTCTAAAACGATCGTCCACTTGGTTTGTGGATCTTGATCGGCATTGCCTTGGTCGTCTCGCATGGAAACCTGTTTCCCACTCAACCTTCGGGCGACCTCACGTTGGGAATACCTTTCTTCCATCAAGGTGACAATTTTGACCGCATCAAGCTCACTTAAATTTCTTCCTGGGGACATTTGAATGCGAATACCCTTTAGTTACACACACAAGTTAGGAAAAACGCAAGAAAATTGAATCGCAAACAATACCACACTTGCATATACCTAGTTGGCGTCGTATCGCTAATTAGTTAATATTAGGAAGTAGATTTTGTTCCCTTGGCATAGGTACGTCTGGATATAGATAAGCTTTAATGTTGTAATAATATCACATATGAGTATTGCGCAAAAATCAAAATAGTGTGTACTTTCTCTAATAAACTTATAAATTGACCTCTATGTTCCTTCTCTGTACATGTTCAGAAATGTTTCGTGCTGTCTTTTGCAATTATTTCAATTCTATTTCAGTTAATACAAGGAGATGGGCTGCCTCACCAAATCTGCACTCAGTGCCTGCGAGATGTGAATCGAGCCTTCTGTTTTAAGCAAAAATGTGAAAAATCCGACAACACTCTTCGAAGTTACGTGCATAATATAAGCTTTAATAACGAAATTAACCAGATTTGCGACATTTCAAATGAAATTGTTAATGGTAGCAATATGTTGCCGGATGATAATATTCTTCCCAGTTGTAACAGCGGTAAATTGATGAGCAGCTGTAGTGTTATACCAAACACTAACAATTTGCTGCCGCATGACGCGATAAACATGATGTCGGATGCAAATGCAATAAGCACATCCATGTCGGCTATAAGTAATACTATAGCTGCGTCAATGAATTCCTTGGATAATGATGCTTTAAACCACAATGGAATTCATGACATTGAGAGTATGAATACAGTGCGAAATGACCTATTTGTTAGTAGTGAAGTTCTGCAGCAAAGTTCATTTTTTCAAGACATTTTTAATTATCCTGGTAACCAGTCTTTGGTCGAGAATTTTACGAAAACTCATGCAGGTCCGTAGTAACTAAATCCGTTTTCAAAATTCCAGTTCATAATCTATTGAAACGGGTTGTAGATGTATCAGATTTAGCAGAAACTATGCAAAGCCTACAAACGATTGCAGAGCAATATTTGCCCGAATCTTGGGAAAATGATAATCAGATTTGCCCAATCAATGCCGAAGACACTTCCAATAATTTCAATTTAATCGAGAATATCTATAAATGCCAGTTTTGTGGCGACTCATTCAAAGGTAAAACTCGAAATAATTATCCGGAGTGTCACATTCAAGAATCACGGTTTTCAGACTCCTGGTCCCTCGATGAACATACAAAAAGTCAGGTTTGCCAAGACAAATTCTTGAGTACAAATATAACCAACGAACTAACCAAGAGCATGTTGCTGGAATACACTTTTGATACCAATTCGAAAGATAACTTCATGTTTGAAAACATTGAACCCATTAGGCAAAATCTACTTTGCGATGTAAGTAGGAAATTTGAGTCTGGTTTGAAGGCGTTATGCAGTTAGGAATCTTTTTAGATTTGTGATCGAACCTTTACGGATCAAAAGTATCTCAAAAAACATTTGAAAGATATTCATTTTATCGACACCACATCCGTCCAGGAAGAGAAAAAGAATATTTGCAATTTGTGCGGGAAAAGGTAGGTCGTGAGCTGAACAGACCCATGATACTTGTTGCTTTCTTTAACATTCTGTGTAGGATGAAATGCGAAATATTTTCCCAAACTCAATCATGAGTAAAAAAAAGGCTTGATATCGGGTTTGGGATAATGGAATAAAACTCATTCGAATTTCTGAAAACAAACTACGTTCGGACCTTTTGTTGAGATCGTTTTCAATACTAGGAACTAGAGATGAGCTAAAGAGTTATAATAATATATATTATATAACTATGTGATTTTTATGATACTACTATATGATTTTTTTAACTGTGAATTTAATCTGTGAATGTGATTTCACTTGTGGTTCCCGTTTTCGTGATATAAGCAGCGTCATAAGGTGATGGGCAATTGTGCGTCACTTGCAGAAACAATTTTAAAACATTTGTAATTCATATTGTTTAAATTAATAACCTTATTTAGGTATACAACAAATATTTTATACTTAAAATCTTAAAGTACAAATGATTTTAAGGACACTAAAAAATAACAGCAACTGGGTCCACATTTTCTAAACCTAGGTAATTTAAAAGTTCTAAAAACATCCTGGAAAAATATTAAAATAGTGGTCACTACACGCAAATCGCAATAGCAGCGTTAGCAGTGAAAATATAAGTCGCTCTTTAATATCGCGTTTGGGTCAAGTAATCATAATAATCGCAATTTTACTGTTTAATTTTTTCCTTGAATTTTTTATTTCTCCCAAGACAAATAAACCATTATTTCGTGCTTGATTTCTAGATATAAAAATTCAAAAATACTACTTCTACATATGCGATCTCACACTGGGGAGAGACCATTAAAATGCGAAATATGTTCTCGAACTTTTGCACTGCCCAGTAGTTTACAGAAGCACAGAAGAATACACAGGGAGAAGCAGTACGAATGCAATATTTGTGGTAAACGGTTCAATCAGCAATCAAATGTTAATACTCATATTCTGATTCATTCTGGTAAGTACAGATTATTTTCTTGCATATATTTCAGGTTCTCTGGTTTAACTTATGTGTAGTGACGATAACTGTACAGTCGGAAATGTGGTACGATTCTCCTTCAAAGTAAAGAGTTTGTGTGTTTGTTTCACATGAATGTCACATTCAAGTTTTTTTAATGCCTTGAAAATGGCCAAAGAATAATCAACTTATTTTCAGTTTTCTCGAAAGAAATACATTTTAAAGAGAAACAATGGTTTTCGTGCAAGCTGCAACCGAAATCTCGTTGAAGCATAATTTTTGCTCATAGGAAACTGTTTGTTTTCCAGGTCAAAAACCTCATCACTGTATCACATGTGGAAAAAGATTTGCAACGAACACCAACTTGGAGGTCCATAAACGAATCCACACGGGTGTCAAGCCGTTTGTCTGTACATTTTGTGATAAAGCATTTATATGTAAGTGTTTCAATTTTTTTCCATTTATTTATTACTGCTTTTTATGTAAATCATCGTCCTTTGCGTTGGGTATCTAACAACTTGAAAAGCGAAAACTTAAAATACCGTGTTTTTTTTTAATTTTGCGATCTGCATATGCTAAAATTATTTTTACGTATACAACACATGCACCTACATGCAGCGATTTGTTCCCATCGTTGACCGCCAATTTCAATTTTTTTGCGAAAATTGACACTTGCAAATAGTGCTTTGAATATTAATTGAGAATGCAGCACAATTTTTCTCAGAAACGGTATGAAATAGCAACCTGATCATTTGGACGACTGTTGATCGAATAAATTAGCATTATTTTCTTTATTTTAATTTGTAATTAGTTGCGCAGATGTATTTCCTAGAAATTACCAAAGCAAATATTTGAATTGATTTAAACATGTTTTTATAGAATTGTATGTTTCCAAAATTGCACTATTTTACAAAGACCGTGAATTCGGCATCTAACCTGTTGATCTTTTTTAGCTAGTACCCAATTAAAAAAGCACATGATGGTTCACACTGGCGAAAAGCCTTACTCTTGCTGGATATGCGGGCAGTCGTTTAGAAGAAAAGAAACTAGGGACACTCATGTGAGATACCATACCAGAGAGCGATCGTTTGGATGTAAAGTGTGCGAGAAAAAGTACATTTCGAAGTCTCATTTAAGGGTAAGTTATTTCCTGGTTTTTGGAAAATTTGGCAAATATCTTGTTTCTCCATTCAGGATCACATGAAAACCAATCATATGAGCGAGCACGAAGGAAAATTCGATTACTGCATGATTTGTAGTAAGAAGTTTAGTTCGTTAAAGACTTTGAAGGCCCATATAAGGTCGCATACGGGACAGAAGCCGTTCGCATGCAATTTTTGCGAAAAGTGTTATCCTAGTCGAAAATCCTTGAATCTCCATGTTAAAACCAATCATAGTCCTAGATAGTAAGCTGATATAAACGGATTTGTGAGGTATTATAAAAACATGTTTTTTTTTCATATTATTTATTGGCTCACTTAAGAGAAGAAATCAGTATTTACAGATGCATTTTGCTACATATTAAACATTATTTTATAAAAAGTATATAAAACATGAATGATTTACTATTAGGTAAACTGAACTGGCTAAAATAAATAAACGGAATGTGTATTCGCGTATGGGTTTACACAAATTGCGCTCATCATGGATAGCTTCACTAGATTAATTTAGCTGTTTCTAGCCACTTTCTTACCGAAGCGAAATTGTTTTTCATCCATCGTGTATTAGCCTCTCCTTGCTCTATCGATTGTTGGGCGGATCTCATGGCAATGCCAAATTGATCCCTGTGACGCTCGAAAAATGATTTGAACTAAAAAATAATTAAAATTTTCAAATATTAAGGATTAGGTACATATAAACTGTATCTATTTACAAGGTTGTCACAACCAAGTATGACTGTCGGCTTGATTGCCAAGATTCCCAAGTAATAAGACTGATTTTGAGTGTTGTTTTGTAGGGCATCGGCAATAAGTTTGTAAAAGTGAGTACTTTGTTTAAACAGCCAAATACAGATAAGCTCGTTTAAAAAATGGGAATCCGGATATGTTATTTTAAACATTCCGAAATGATGTATTTAGCTGTTGGAGAAAGTATTATAGTGAATGTTAGAAATGTTGTGTAGTTTAGTATTGCTTTTCAATCTATTTCAATTGTGTCTCTGTCGAATAATTGTTTAATATAAGTTGTTATGCGGAAATTGAGTTAATTTTTAAATAAGTGAATAACTCTCAATATTCATAGAACTGATGTAATTATAGAAATTTCATTTTAAAATTAATAAATTATTCGAAGTTTTAGCATATATTGTGACTTTTTTATACCATTCTACTAAGTGCATCTAATAAATGCTTTAATGTAAAGTACCGATTGGGGTCATTTAGAAAGTCGACTAACTTGAACTATTAATATGAGAAAAGGTCATTGTTTTAGGCCAACAATTATCTCAAAAGCGTAGCCACACTTGAGCTAATCATCGTCCGAATGCAGCTTTTCTTGATACAATCTCCTACTAACCGAAAGCGAAAAGCAAGTTCTCACGTTCATAAATCATTTGAGTCACATTTTCAGTATCAAGAAATTATCAAATTGAAAAAAATCCCAGTTTTTAGTTGATTTTTTTGAAGATTATTGTGTCAATTGAGATTTTCAAAATTCAACCCAAAGTCTGACAATGTCTGACAAAATATATATGCAAAAACCGGGTGAAAATTTTAACTCAAATTGACTTTTTTGCACATTTTGATTCGTTTGCTGTTAGATTTTTTAAAGTAATATATTTTTGAATTGTATTATCTCGACTAAATATGGTAAATTTGTTCAAAACTAGTTATGTATTAGGTATTTAACTTTCTCTCTATAACTGTTTGGAAACACTTACATCATCTACTTCTTCTTCTGTGTTGAATTTTTCCGTCGCTGATTTAATTATGCTGCTTAAAGCCGCTGAACTCGGTCCCAAACTGTAAAATATTGCAACTGAATTTAAGTATATAAATTTTAATAATTTTCTTACTATTTGCGGATTCTTTGCCAGTTGGTCTTGACAAACCGATAGACCAGATCGTGGCCTACTGGATTTTCTGATATCAAAGCGAAAACGCGTGCCGTGTCGTGTTTTCGAATACCAGAATTTTCGGTTATTGACCATTCTAGATACCTGGAAAAATATAAAATGTCAGGATATGTTTGAGAGCATAAAGCAAAATATTGCGAAGAAAATGTTTCAAAGTTCTCACTTCATGGGGTTCGATATCCTTTAAGATACAAATATATTAATAGTCAATTTTTTAATTATTTTTATCAATAAAATCACTTTCCAAAATATGTAGTTTTGCACTGACCACTTTTATATTAAGTAATTACCTGCTTAAAATCCATATTTCTTTTGAGCAAGCCAATGCAGTAAGTATAATTTCTTTATCAGTAGCCACATTAGCATTTAAATATCTGTTCCATGCAAAGTCCCATTCTTCCTGACCTCCGTCACCAATGGCTGTGCAATAGACAGTCTGCCGAACATTTAAATTGATCCTGAAAATATCTATAATTACAAAAATATTTTTCAACTATTTTCTCGCTTTGTACTTACAAGTTGTCCTTATCTGGATTGGCACTGTTCCTCCAATTTTGGAAATACTGAACTGCTTGCAAGACACAATCTTTAAGCCCGAGTCTGCATGCGTATTCCACTATTTCCATCCGGGTTAAAACTCTTGTTGGTTCATCTGTATCGCTTTCTTTGAAGGTCAGTTCGAGGTAGAAGTCTTTTAGTAATGATATCACATATACCTGTCATATCGAAAAAAACTGAGTGTTTTATTGAATTTTGTAGAGAAATGATTAGTTATTGCCTTGAACTTATCGAAATGTCCACTTCTCGCAAACATGTTGTGCAAAAATTGAAAATTGGTCAGGGCAGCTTTCCATGGCACATACTCTCTTTCGTTCGGAAGATACAAAGTCAGATTCAGAGCTACGTCGTAGTTCAAATATCCCGCAAACGCCAGATTCAATGCATCATCGATCATCTGAGCTCTATTTCTTGGATTGATTAAGCGATGACCATTGCCTTGTAGTTGATTGGTGAGCGATTTCCAGTTCTCTTCTGCGTAGTTCACTCTGCAGGTAACAGCAGGCAGTGTGATAACAATGAACTTATATGCACTTCCTTAAATACCTGTAGTATCCCGTTTGGTGAACATTTACTAAAAACCACGACGTATCGCGGGGCAGTATGCCTTTAAGGATTATTTGACGCTCCTTTTCCATCCAAGCATGGTGTCTTGTGTCTGCACTGTCAAGGACTGTTACAGGAACCCACCTGAAAAAATCCTATCTAGATTTATATATTTTTAAGGCTTGGTCCTTGATGAACTTTTAAATGAACATTCGGGTTAATAAGCAAGTGAAACTTGCACACGATGTCTGCACGAAAAGCAACTGTAGTGACTCAATTAGTATAAATTAGACGCTTCAAAGTTATATAAAATTGATGCGGGCAGTAGAAAATAAGGTCATTGTTTTCTAAGTCTTAAAAGAATTATTCAAATCTTCTATATGCCTGATTGTTGTTTCTGAATAATTACGAACATTCATTGTATTTCCTACAGCTTAGCTTAATTCTTCGCCACTGTTTCTTTTCCAACTTAATTACTCACTTTCATCAAAAAACATTTAGATCACGTTCAAGATTTCATTGCGTATTTTTTTCTTAAATTCTATTTAAAACACAGTTGTCGTATAATATGCTAAAATGGTTCTTGGAATTTGTTAAAAAATTGTAAATAAAAATTTCTCTACTTTTATTATCACGTTAATAACTAGTCAATCCGAATTAATATAACATAAAATAAAAGATTAGAATTTTCTCATTATAAAGCTTCTAATTTCTCAACTTAAATTGTATTAATGTTTTTTGTTTTACTTTGCTAATATGCGATATATTTTAAGTAAAAGCGGCTGTTGATTTTAGTTAATATTTATATATTTTTATACAAATGCATATACATATACAGGATTATTCACTCTATACTAGATGGAAGATATTAAGAAGTATATCGAATTTTGAAACCAAATTTTACTTTGCGACGGTCAATAGAAGTAGTTATGTAACAAATTAATCAAAATGGAATTGGCATATGTAGAGTCCGAGGCATAACGATAGTCACATCTGGGAACGGACTAATTCACAATTGAAACTTTGATATGTTTGAATTGAATTCAGATACTGTAGATTTTTTAAACTTGTTGTAAAGTAAAGTTTTACAATTAGAAACTAAAAAAACCGTGAATATTCACCATGTTTTAATTTGGCATTATTTTACTCTAATAATAGCTTGGTAGTGAACAAACTGCGTCAATAGTTTAATCGAATTGTAAATAATAATAACTTCTTGAACCCGGATCTTTAACTGAAATAATTTTACATCGTCTGATTTAATGCATATACGTTTGATATTAATAAACTTCTTTTTTGATAGATCTGATATAATTTTTTCAGTAGTTTCGTACTTACCATAAAGACTGATCTGTTTCATTGGTGTCTCTGTTCAGCAAATATCGCTTCTGGATAATAGTCAAATCTCCATTCACATCAATCGTCGCTGTAAGGACCGGATATCCAGTCTGCAAAGTCCAAGTATCCATAATTTCCTTGATTGTAGTATTTTCCGGTAACATTTTAGACACCAGAGTTTCTTCTGTTAGCGATTGCCAGAGATCATCTTGCACTGCATTTTTGTACATCCTTTAAATACTAGGAATTAGTTTTTTTGCTAAATAAGAAACTAAGACGCAAACCTGTTTTTCAGGTACTTCTGCAGCCCCGAAACGAACACTTTGTCTCCGACAAAGTCTTTTATCATTCGAATAATGCACGCACCTACCAAAGATATTAATATTTTTAATTGAAACTGTAATCAATTAATTCGCTCACTTTTGGAATAGGATATTCGATCAAATATATCATTGACTTCATCAGGGTCGTTAACTTCAACCGATATGGGATGGGAACTCTTCAGAGCATCCAAAACCAGAGACTCGTGAAGTTCGTTTACTAAGAGATCCATATTTTTCCACTTAGGATTGACCTAAAAAAAAACAGAATAAAATGAATTAGAAAAGAATATATGTCGTATATCGAGTCGTAATATATTAATTTCACGGAATTTTAGAGCACTTAGTAGTGTTACTTTCTGCTGATATTCTTCACTTAACTAATTTAAATTTTGGTTTGTGTGTGAGCACAATAGACATACTCAAGCCGCTCATTCGGTTTCTCGGAGAATCATTCTAAATCACGAGTTCGGTTGCATGAATAAACCAAGAGATACTTTTTTAAGTTCGGTTTTTTCGTAAATTTTAATTTTTAAAAGTGTAATAAATTAATTTTAAAAGCGTGCAAATGGCGAACACATTACCAATTAGTATTTTTTCTTTATGATTAGTCATAATAACACATTTCTAACACATCTGTCGTTCCTTTATTGATTCAAAGTTTGCATAGAAAATTGAGTTCAAACTATCTGATCAAACCTGTACATTTTGCGTGCTTCATAAAACGTACTGTATGTAAAGCTTCATAGATGTACCTTTGTAAAAATTGTTGTAAGATGAACTTTTAGAACTGTCCCCTGTCGGTGAACAAGGCGTTTCATAAAAATGTGCAAATAGTAAAATAAACTTTGTTATATTTACCTTCGATTTGAGCCTCTAGACAAAAAAAGTCAGTTTTACAATGTTCGTATTTTACGGCAACTGTAAGGAGTGAATTTATTTGAAAATAATGTAATAATTTTTGTCACTAAAATTTCAGCTGCTTGTTTTAGTCTGTCTTTAGATGTGCAAAAGATGATGAACTAGTCATGATGTTACAATCATTTTTTCGATATATGTATTTTTCTATTTATATCAATTTTTTTATAATACTAAGCATTTTTTATAACAGATATAATAATGCACAAAAAACTCAAGGGATGAGTCGACATGAAAAATAAATGTCTCACGTTCATTATAAGATAGATAGTTGCGATCGCGAAAGAACTTGTTCTTCTGTGTTAATCAAATATACATCGACTAATTGTGAAATTCTTTCGAATGAGCAAAGAAAATATTTGAGAAATATTTTTAAAATTCTAAATCCAAAGTCTAGTAGCTTCGTTATTTTTAAACTTCGGAGATTTGCGACATGAACTTGAAATACTAATTATTCATGGAAAATCACCCTCTGATTTTTTGGCGCATCTTTTGGTAATTCCTTGTATATATCTTTAACTCCTTTTGCAAATTGGCGTATCAAAAGCAGGTAACAAATTTTTAGTTTTTCAGATGTACCTTTTTCGTGTTATAAAAGTAAAATATAACTGATATAATTATAATTATAAAGCAACATTTGAAACAAAACCAGGTTTATTTCAGCCATTGTATGCTATTTTGAAAATATTCAAACCCTGATGTAGACCCTGAATTTTATTCGTTTTGATAGATAAACTTATAAATAAATAATAATTTAAATATGCTGGTTATGCAAAATAAGGGCGACTTGCTCAAATCTACAATGTATCGCATAGAAAATCAGGTTCATTTTCATTTTGAACATATTGAATGAGGAAGTTTAAGCAGTAGTTTAAAGTGGTTCTTAACGTACCGACATAAATAATCTTTAATGTGTTAAATAGTTGAAAAAATCACTAGTGTGAAAATGTGAAACCGAAGTTAGTTTGACTGAAATTTGACTTGAGCTTTAGGATAAAAAGATTGCAGACCGATTTTTTGAGCGGTTTGAAGCACAAGCAGGTTTTCGCCGTTGAGTATCAAATCGAAAAACAGCTATTGAAAATAAACTGGCAAATAAAAAGAGCTAAAGTATTTCGATTAAATAATCCTTATGAAACTTGTAATAGTTACTAAGAGCTTACTGCGTGTGCTCCTAAGAATTCTGCATATGTGGCAAAACCTTCGTTTAACCACAAATCGTCCCACCACTCTGGAGTGACCAGGTTTCCGAACCATTGATGAGCAATTTCGTGAGCAATGACATGAGCAATTCTTTGCTTACTGACTGTGCTTGATATTCCTTCTTCGTAAAGTAGCAATGGTTCTCTAGGCAGAGAAAAAACGTATTCTTTATCATTGTCTTTTCGATTATAACACTACTACCTGCATGTTATCAGTCCCCAGTTTTCCATAGCGCCAGCTGAAAAATCAGGAATAGCGACCAAATCAACTTTAGGCAGTGGATATTCGATTCCAAAGAATTTTTCATAATATTTAAATATCAGCGGAGCTATTTCCAAAGCAAAACTGAAATATATTCCTCATTAGCTGACTGCATGGACATAAAGAGTGTAGATATACCGTGCTTGAGAAAGAGCGCTAGGTCTAGCCCATACGCTAAAAGAGCCTTTGCTAATATTTTGAAAGTCGGAAACGACAAAAGCGACCAAGTAAGTAGACATGGGAAGACTCTCCTCGAATTGGTCCCAAACATAATCGGGTAGGTCTTTCCTGTAATTATCCAGCATTATTCCCGAACCGATTCTAAATAATTAATTGCTCTACTTACACGTTTGGTGTGGTATCGATCTTTGGCATATTTGAGATGGCGGTCATATTTTTCAGTCGAGCAATATTAATTTGAAATTTTGCCTTGAATGCTGGTTCATCGAAGCATGGGAATGCTCTTCTCGCATCGGTCGCTTGGAATTGCGTTGCCGCGATCCATCTGGAAGCGGAAATTGATGGGGTAAAAGTCAAAAAGCTATTTCTTAATTTAACTATATAGCTCGTTTATTATATATTTACACTTCAATTTCGAGGAAATTTTAAACAGACTTTTAACATTATTTTCAGTCGAAGGAGTAAATATAACTATTAAATTAAACATAAAATATTCGACAATAAATTGCCGAAACTATATGGCTAAAAGAGTTTTTCTTTTTCTTCACCACTGCCCAGGCCGAATTCCCAAGAAAATCAACCATCTTGCAATAAATGAAATTTAAGTTAAAGTCAAAAAACTGACAATTTGTAAAAAATTAAAACTAAGACATTTTTTACACATTTTTCTTTGTATGTGCCTTTTGAGAACGAGACCGTCAAGGTAATTTTTCCAAATTTATTTCTTTAATAACTAGGTGATAGTTTGATTACATTTTGATAAAGAATTCGTGTGATTCTTATGAAATATTTCGAACTTATTGTGAGATAAGAGCACTAGTTTTCAACCATATAGAGCTTCTCTCTACACATGTTTTTGTTGAAACTCATTGGCCAGATTATCAATTATCAGTTTAAATATTTAAAGGATAATATTTGGAATTCGCAACGTGCCAACAGTACCATCTAAATTAGATTCAGAAGAAGTTCATATGGTTCAAAAACTGTTTCGAACAATTTTTTAGTCACTTTCAAGGCGTGACTTTTCTCGAATTTTCGATATAATCATTCCGTTAGCACCAAGCACTAATAAACTCTGAAACTCAAAAAAATTCTGAATGTTGTCGAAGTTTATCATTGCACTGACGATTTCATTTTCAAAATTTTCTCCAAAAAGACGAAGATGTTTTCTAAATAAAAATAAATGTTTTTATGTCAAAATTGTTCTTGTACATGTTATCTAAGAATATCCTGATTTTCAATAAACTAATGAAGAAATCCGCCCCAAATCTTTGGACTGCAGTGAAAAATGCATACATCTCAGCAGCATCAAAAATAAAACTTTGTCATCACTAGATGGACCATTTCAACAGAATATTGCTTCTGGTTTGTCTATAAACAGCCTGTGCAAGTACTTTATCTTCAAATATTCTATAGACAAAGCATTTTGTTTCGTGTGCTTAATATGTTTGCAATACTTGCTCAAATTAAAATTTAAATAGGAGTTTTCAACGCTAAAAGAAATGAAGAATTGCGTTTCCTTAAAAGTCCGAGTTCAGAATGAAAAGACAAATGAAGAAAACATGTTCAGTTTAAAAGTTCAGAATGAAAAGGTAAATAAAAACTACAAATCAAATTTGGACAAACCACCAGCAAAAAAAAGGTATTTGCTTGATAAACTGAAAAAGTAAAATTTACTTACTTGGTAACATTTTGTTCCACATAACTGCTTCTATAAAATCCTTGCAACATATCATTCAGAACCCCTTTGAACTTGATATATATCTGATATTGCTGCCCAGCTTCCACGACTCCATCCAGGTCGATTACAATAAATTGCTTCCGTTCCAAACTTCGAACATCTTTTACTGATATACTTTCATTATTGATATTCATTACATTAACAGCAACGATGCTCAAGCCGACTGAATGCAAAGTGACATTGGTGCTGGCTTCGGAAACATTGACGAGGATGATTTCTTCTCCGTGAAAAGTGAAGTTGTCTTCCTGAATGAACGGAATGAGATGCACTTTGTAGGAATCTGGTACCATGTCTTTGGATAAGCGTAGGCCTAAATCTTTAACAGTACTCGGTTTCGGAGTGGGCCTCTCAACAATCACGGGTGTAGTCGTTTCAAATTCTTCAAAGTCTCCTTGAAGCGAATTAACTTTACTTATGCCTTCACTAAGTCCTAAGTTATCACATAATGAGATTTCACTTTTTTCACTACTAGTAATGTCCGCCACTAAGGTTTCGTTTTTCGGACAAGTCGAGGTAAAACTGTAAACCAATAGTCCTGTTGCCACTAAGCATATGAAGAAAATGAACAACAAAATGATAGCCAATGTTTTTGATACAGTCACGAACGTAGTTTTTCCATATTTGGTGGTAACCGCATCCATCATGGAAAGGTTTTCGTGATTCTCGTGGGTCATGATTGTAACTTTCCTGAAACAAAATAACTTCGCTGATTAATTGAACACCTACTGATGTTGATACACACATACAAGTTTAAGCGTAAGCAAAATAAACCTTTCTGGATTTATATCTGGAGAATTTCTCGGAGTACTGATGTGTTGCATACGGTGATGTTTTCAGCGAATATTGCAAATTGCAAAAGAAAAATCGCCGCAGTATTAATGCGAATTTATTTTAGGAAAGCAACTGTTTTCGCCGTTTTTGTTAGTATTGGATTACAGGTCTTGCGGCGTAATGGTTCCATTGAGAAATTAATAGGTTTAAAACACATATTGGGAATTTTTTGGTGCCAAGGCTTTTGTAAATATGTATGTAAATTTCTGGGCGATTGCAAAGACTGTACTGTTCAGCTGGTTGTGTTAGAATCAGTTCAAAATTTAAAGTGTTTTGATACTTCATAAAGAACAAGTTCTTCGCCACTCGTCGCAAAGGCCCGAAAAACTCACCAGTTTCTCTTCAGAGTTTCTTTAAAAAATGCAATAATTTAATGATTTTATTTGCTAAAATAATTCAGTAAACTTACATTTAGGAGCAATTAAAAATACACTTTCCAATCTAATAAAATTTAATCTTGTAATTACAGTAAGTATACCTAACTCACAGTGTGTACTAGTAAATTTTGATCGTGCTCCACGAAAAAACAATTTTTTATCGATGACCATGAATGACCAGGGAATAAAAATTTACAACCCGGTAAACATTTTCCTAAAATAATTAATGGAAAATTTGTATATGAAGAACCAAAGCTAAGAAATTGATGAGAAAGGGACTATAAAATTTTAAAGCTTCCGAACAACCAATGTATTTTGTAACATGTAATATGATGGAAACACAAGTAGTTAGATATATAAACAATCTAGTCGATTTTAAGTTAATTTTAAATAGTTCCGAAAATCAGCTACCCGGCAAATGAAACCAAGTACATCTTCTTGAAGGAATTATATTAAATTTCAATCTGATATCCAATACTCTTACTAGGGGACAGAAAAATCAATTTGAGCAAGGAAATGCCATCAGAATCGTATAGGGTTTCTGAACGGCACACAAAGCCAAATGGGTGGCAACATATGCTTTATTGTAGAAAGTCCAATAATGCCATGAATAAATGATAGACCACCATTGACGTCGGTTATTTAATATTTATCAATGCATTTTGCACACGAAATATGGGAAGTAGCTCTTACTGACTGAAAAGAGAATAATTTAGTTATGAAAACTGGCAAAAATGCTCTTGATTAGAAAGTACATTCGCTCTGATTTCTGTTACAAACTTTTAGGGCCAACTGCTTAATATAATAATAAGAAGTTGGCTACTTAATAATGCGGTCAAATGTTTGAATGTTTTAATGATTGATTGAAGATGAAGAATATTTGTTAATATATTTTTATTTAGTAAGTATATTAGAACTATAAAAAATTATAGCAAAATGTTGTTTATTAAAAGTGGATTTTAGCAAATTTCAACTTATATCACATTCGAAATCATAGGCCAGATAAGAATGAGAAAAAATATAATAGCTTTTTACACCAGAACTTTATTTTGTTAGTTTTCAATACAAAGGTTGTTATTATACATGTTTACAATTTCGGCTTCAGACAAAGAAGAATAATTTTTTAAGTAAATATTTCAGTTATCCAAAAATTCGACTTAATTACACTTACTGCTAAAAAAATTATATTTAAATATTACAACTCACATGGAGCAGTAACGAGGGAATGGTTTAAAGCGCTTTCTGGATCATCTTAATTAGTTGCACTATCAAATAATTTAGACTGTTGAATTTAAGGTCTACTAATATTATAATGTCAGAAGTTAACAAATTTTTCATGAGCATCTTTATTAAGTTTGGTCGTCTGTTTTGGTTCCCAATTTTATTGAATAATTGAGTAAAAGTGACTCAGGCCTTTAGCTCATTATATTCGTCCACTGTGACTGAACTCGTGAATTTAAACTGTTTTGTCCAAGATTCTTAACGAACCCTAATTAAAATCGCCATTTTAACGATTATCGCACAGATGGCTTTAAATAGTATAATAATGCATGATGATTTATGTCAACATAGAATTTTAATTCTTGTTATTAAAATGATGATATAAACAGTCACTAAAGAAGCGCTGAAAAAAGCGAAAATTGAAAAGAACATCGACTTTTTTAAAGTAGTTTTATAATTAATCAACATTTATTACTGAATGGATAAGTGATTTCTCTTACGGTCCATTAATTTTATTTACACCTAGAAAACACAAACTAAACTAGTTTCCTACATTTATTAACGTATAGTACAATCGCCAAATTTTTGCTATTTTCCGATAAGAGGTTATTCTGCTTCTACACATTTTTCATAGAACTAATTTATAATCAAATTCAAATACACAAGTAACAAAACATAAACAAATAAAAAATTAAAACTTCTCTAAACATACCCACATTCAAGCATACATTATTATGAAGGCTACATAAATCTGCTTCATGTTGGACATAAATTAGATCGCTGGAGTTTATAATTAACTTAATTGATTTTTGTTAACTAAACTAAAAAGAAAAACAAATGCTCAACTTGTTTGATTGCATTGGCACTTGTAATAATTTTTATTTGGAGTTAATATAAGCATACATCGTCGTACAGTTATATGTAATTAATATAAGCGAAGAAAATTACAAGTTGCAAAGCAAACGTAAAAATCCAAGTTTGTTGCATTCAATTTAAAAACATGTCCATTATTTTCTAAAAATCACTTAAGTCGCGAAAAACATTTCCTTGGTGTCCGGCAGTTTTTAAGCGGAGCTTATAGTCTAAACTACTGGTGATATTATTGAAGTATTTTATTTAAATTAACTTAAAAGTCCAGTGACAGGGTTTCCAACGATTTATGGTATTTTGTTGTTGCGTTAACCCATCAATAACAATGTATTATTGTTGGATGCTAGCAGTGATGCAGTTAATTTACCAATTTATCAAGAGTTGTTGTCTCGGACCTACAGAAAATTGACTTCATTCAGAGTCAACCTCATCGTTCCTACTTACTAAGCGCATAATACGGCTTCTTAATACGGAAAGGAAGAATCGAAAAGTACTAGTGTAGTTATCAAAAATTTGCCAAAATTCCATTAAAGTAAATAATTTCCTGCAAGAAATGCGACTCAAATTAAGTAACATATATTCTCCTATACGAAAAATGAATAGTTTTTCTAGTGGCTGCAACTGTGCTTTTTTATATAACATTTTAAATATATCAAAAACAGTTAGACTTCGGTACAGGACCCCGTGTATAAAATCTATATATAAGTAGCCAAAATAGCTGAAAAGCATATAATGTCACCCTGTACATCTACAGCAAGTAATATTGTTTTTATTGATGAAATCCTTCTTGTTATTAGTAAGAAGAGGAAGTATGCGGGTGGTCCCAACTGGTAGATAAAATTTTATAGTACCCCTATGACTAATTTAAGTTGAATATTTATATTTAATTGTTTAGTATGACATAATGGCATGGTGTCAAGTTGCCTGTTGAGGGTAATCACGGCCTTAATTAAAGTTTTTTCGTTTTCATTAACTGAACTTTGACTAACAAACATAAAAATACCAAAGCGTTTCAGAATGATTGTTGACATTAAATTAATTACGAAAGCATGTCGGCCATAAGATTTCCAAAAATATCCAACATATAATGAATTAGAATACCTAAAAATATCTCGAGTTATTATGTTATTGGGTCAAAGAACGATGCTTTTGCGCGCAATATTTCTTTTCAGATCACGATACGTGACAAATAAATCAAAATAGCTCATGTTTCAGATTATATCGATCCAAAACAACAGTGATATTGAAGAGTGAACAACACTGCGATTCAATCCAGTTCAACTTAAAAGAGTGCAAAAATGTAAACAAATGTGAAGCAATAAATTTCTGCTTGAAACGCATTGAGAAATTATTGGTGAAAAAATCATCAATTCAAACAAATAATCTTGTAGGCCTTTGAAGCACCTTTGTCTAGCCTCTGATTTTTTCTTATTTCTATCTAATATTATTTAGATGTATAGAGAGAGCTGCATGGAAAACATCCTAATAAGTACCTAACAAGTAAAGCCATATTGGCGTGGAGATTCTCTTACGTATTTCACATTTGCCATTATTTTTATTAATTTATTATTATATCAGTTAAATATCAATAACTTTGAACCCAAATTTCGTACGCCAAAAAATGAGTTCCTAGTTTTCAATAATTGTTTAGCATTTATTTAATTTCATAATTCAGTAATAAAATGGAAGAGGTGTCAATAGCAAGTTGAAAAGTAAAACCAATACTAACATCAAAATTTAGTTCAAAAGAAATTATTGCTAGTTTTCGATAAAACATTCTTCATTTTTATTTCATTCCGGATTTAACTAGAGAACTTGTTTTTACTGAAGTTACAGCTGAGGGCTTAGATAAGCCAATCAATTTATAGATTTTCCCAATTTATCTACTATTATTATTAAACAGATAAAATGATTATACAACTAAATTATTATTTAGCTTCATTGATTTTGAGAAACTTGTTTCAAATACAATATAAATAAAAACTTGAGAGAGCTTAACCTTGTCGACGGTTTATAATACATAGTCTATTATTTTGATTGATTATCTGTTGATTCGTTTACTTAAGTTATCAATTTCAACTTTTGACTATCTATTCAAAATGACAATCTTTACGCGTGCTTGCAAATAATTATTTAAAACAAAGAGGAAAAGCTCATTGTTGGAAATTTGCTCAATTAATTGAAGTATGTTGTCTTTAAGATATTTGCTTTGGCATTGGCGCAAAATTTCAAATAAATTAGTTTTCTTACTGCAAAATTTACTGTTTCTTTAAGTAAAAACTTCAAATCGATGAATTAAAACAACCCACTAGTGTCTTTATTAAGATGAATATTTGAACGCAAATAGTATGAAAGTGTATACGTTTTCATTCTGATATTTTCTCACTT